CGACAGTAGGCGTTATTTAAATTGAAGAGAACCTGATACCCGTTATCATCCATCAAACATTCGTGAAAGAGATGCATACGGAGGAGCTATTGTCTATGTTTTGGGGTAGTATCTCTGTGGGTGGACATACAGACCTCTATGTCTTTCTGTGAGGAACCGTGAATGCTCAGGCCTACAGAGATCACATCCTTGATGCTTATGCATGCACTTATGCGGGGGCAATAGGTGATGATTTCCTGCTACAGACCGCACACGGCTAGCATAGTGGATGATTATCATCAGCAGCAAACAGTTCAGCGAATGGAATGATCAGTTCGATCGGCGGAGCTGAATCCTATCGAGCATGTTTGGAACGCTTTATGAAAACATATAGCTACTCTGAATTCTTATTTTTAGACCCTTACCACGCTTGCAACTGCTTTGCGAGAGTAATGGCTCTCACTTCCTGCGAAACTGATAGACCGCGTAATTGACAACATTATAATTCTCTATATATGCTGTATTGCTCTTGAGGGGATCATACTCCATATTGAAGGTACTTTTTCTAAACCAAACTAACACACCCGATTTGTTCATTTTAAACATATGCTAGTTTCTGCAATACCATAATTGCCTGGTAATTTCTTTCATGTTACTTTACACATTACTATGTGTTGTATACTGTGGGTCAGTTTCATTAAATTCTACACGTAACGTTTTCAGTAATCGTCCTTTTACAGATTTTTTCTTAATTAGTGATAACTAGTGTAAAATATATTGTTGATGTTGTAATTTATCTATCTACTATCTACAGGCCACAACAGATGCTATAAAGTCGATTTGAGTACTTTGTTTTTATCTGAGCAGGTAATGGATATCTTTTCTCACGTAGATATTAATTAACTAAATTTTTAAAGCACAATTTACAGTTTACTATTTTCGTTTTCCCTGAAAATCAGCCCAGCAGTGCCATATGGACAGCGAAATGATAGCGAGACGCTTTCTGAGGCAAAGCTTCTGATGAGTACTGCTCGATCTTCCATTCGAAAAGTATTGAACAAATATGTTAACTGCCGCAGATATAGAGCAAACCTCGCCACACAAATCATGTCCAATTTACAAGTCTCACGTGTTAACATATACTAGGCCATTTTTATGACTACGTCCACCGAACTGGACGTGTTCAAAGGTCTTTCGAATACTACGTATGCATTTTCCCATGCTTTTTGACGCGTTCTACCCATTGAGGAAGCAGTCGAATATCTTTTTACTAATGCATTCTTAGAATCCCTGAAACGATTCATTGCGACAGACAGAGGTAGACCAGTAGAGATTTTTAGTCGTTGCAGAACTAATTTTAAAGGATCTGATAGTGAGATCCAGAAGTATTTTTCAAAATATGAACGAAATCAATCAGTTCGAGCTTATGTTGTGGCGTATGGGAAAGGTTTAAAATGGATCTTCAATCCTCGAGTAGTCCCTAATTTTGGCAGTTTGTGAGAGTTTGTCGTCAAGTCGATGAAACATCACCTTCGTCGAAGCGTAGGATCTGCAATATTAACATGTCCTGACTTCACTACACTCATCACTCAGGTCGAGTCCTGCTTGAACTCAGTACATTGACAGCAATGTCTGAGGATCCTACAGATTTTGAAATTCTCACGCCGAACCAGTTTCTGATTGGAGTTCCAGTTTCTAATTTACCAGAGCAGGAGCTTCGCAAGAGCTATCTTCTATAGACAATTGCGTCAATCCGTCCTCCCATTTTTCTGGAAGAGATGGTCAAGAGAATACTTTTTCCAACTGCAACAACGTCCTATGACCAAAAAGAGACTTTCAGGTCAACGATCGTGTTTTATTCAAAGAAGAAAACGTTGCAGCACTGTTGTGGCGTACGGGAAGAGTCTAATCCTGGAAGTGACGGTAAGATTCCTGTGGTAACGGTACGAACTGCACACGGAGAACTCAAGAGACCTAGCTTTGTCCTTTATTAAACCAGGAAACAAACTCTTAATTACGATACAAACTATTTATTTATATAGACAGTTGAGCAGCTTAAAAATTGTCTGCATTCTATTATGTTTAAAAAGTTTGTGCTTAAAATTGTAATTAATTAAAACTGTATTTCAATGGTGGTCGGAAAGTTTAGGCGACATTTTCAAATCTGGCAACCACACGCAGATGCAAATTAATTTGCTCGAGCTAATTCGCCAGAATAGAAAAGTTCGTCTATTGGCTTGGTGATCGTCCGCTGCCTTGATGATCCCGCTTAGCCTTGGTGAACTTTAGTTTTTCACTGTTCTTTCATTATTCAATAAATATGTTTGCATGAATACAGTCCGCTTATTTTCATACGTTCTACAAGATTTAGATATCTTAGCCTGAAGCCGTACATATTTATAAACAATGCAAAAGAAGCTGTCTCTAGAAACTTAGTTTAATTTTTGAACTAGATATTTGAACGCAAATCTCTAAGTTTGCATTCAAAAATCTGCTTTTCATTTAGCAGACGGTTTAGAGGAATTACAAGCCATAAACGATGTTTAGGATATCATTGAGGGAAGTTATGAAGATTCATGTCGCCCAGACGATATAGTGGTTAGGGAAGCTTACTGCGGAACCGAAGAGCTCGGGTTAGAATCCCGGAGGAGTCAGGGATATTTTTAAATGTATAGTGTCCATGCGGCATGGAAGCTCTAAATATGCGGCGAGCTGAAAGTCCTCTCGAGAGATTATGGTAGGGGAAGAGAGGTAGTGAAACCTCGGACCCGTTCCCCCGTCAAAATTGGAGGCGGAACTGAGCGAAGTCGTACTGTCACCTGTGTCGTGCTCAAGGCTTTTGACAACGACAGGGCCAGTTTTGCACAACTTGCCACGATGAACTTCGTAAGTTTGTTCTGATGTTATTGTCAGACAAGTGAGTTAAGTCACATGAAGATTCAGTATTAGAATACATTTTAGTTGACGATAATATTGAAATAATATGTAAAAATATTTACCACTTTATCACAAAAAGTGTTAAAAGAGCAGCATAAAATGACAGTGACAGTGATAGTGATGGCAGGCCAAATTTAAACGAATTTAGAAAAGCGCTGCAAATTATAAAATCTCTTGACTTGAATGAGGTAATCAGAACAGATACCAGTAGTTTTACAAAGCACTGAATGCAACTGAAAAGTGTTGATAAACAATACAAAATTAGCATGAATAGATGCGTTCTTTTTAAAATTTTATCAGGTACATATTGATAAATTTCTTATAAAGTAATTAGAGGTAAATTTCAAAATCCCGTAAAACGTTTCATTTTAAGTGCTATTTTAGTCATTAGGTTGATATTGAGTTACTACCTTACTAGATACGTGTAAAGCTAATATTACAATTTGCGATACTCAAACCGATGTCTGAAACTCAGCCGCTGGAGATACTTAAGTATGTTTAGAACGAAAGTTATTCTAATAAGCAGCGGGTATTGTATTTCATTATTAAAAAGTAAAGATCATAAAAACATTAACAAAAGGAACGGACTTCAGAAGACGTGTTAAAGTCTTAACTAACCTTCCAATTCTTTTTTTTTTTCTTTTGTTTGTTTTCATTCTGTTGATGGTTACACCGTAATACAGGGTGTTTGTAAAGTCCCGGACCCATTTTGATGTTTAATAACTCATAAAATAATGACGATATAAACAAACTTAATGGCATTTATTGATGGAATAACTTATATATTTTTTTGGTTTATATAACTTTTCAGGTTTGAATATCTTTACTTTTGTAAATATCGTCTGCGCGTGTGGTTAATATCAGATAATTTAATTTTCCAATCTAAATATCTGTACTTTTCTAAATATCGTCTGCTTATTAATTGCATTTTTCTCTCTTTTGTTTTTGGCATCTTTCTGGCATTGTTAATCGGCATAATGTGCGCATATGGGGATCTGAAAACCCCCATAAATACCGTGAGGCACAAAGGGATTCCCAAAAGGTAAATGTGTAAATGTGTGGTGTGGACTATTGCTCGACCGAGTCATTGGGCCTTTTTTTTTTTTTTTTTTACAGAAAAGACGGTCTCATCAGTCGTATATTTAGACATGTTGGAAAACTTCGTATTTCCACAAATAGAGGAGCTTCAGCCACATGTCGTTTTACAACAAGATGGTGCACCACGTCATTGGGGTACCATCGTTCGTAGTTCTTTGAATGACCATTTTACAGGAAGATGGATTAGGCGAGGAGGTCCAATTCCTTGGCCACCCTGATCACCTGATATAACGTCGCTGGACATTTACCTTTGGGGATTTGTAAAGGACAATCTTTAGAGGAGGCGAGTGTCGAATATGGATGACCTAAAAGCCAGAATTACGACCGCAATAGCCTCTGTGGATGCCGACTTGTTTGCCGGTACCTGGCGTGAAATTGAATATCGTTTTGATATTCTCCGTGCGACGAAGGGAGCTCACGTTGAAGTTCGTTGACAAGGGCCATGAAACTTTTTGAGTCTATCTAACAATTTATGTTTTTAATTTTAATCTATCTTTATTATTTTATGAGTTATTAAACATCAAAATGGGTCCGGGACTTTATAAACACCTTGGATTTTAAAAACACAGTATTAAATAGTAAAACACTTTTAAAGAGTAATAAAAGGACATTTACTCTATTCTTATATTTCAGGTCGAATTAATATAATTTATAAGATATTATAAATTATATTAATTAATAATTTATAAGATATTATAAATTATATTAATTAATAATTTATAAGATATTTTCTCCCTCCTTTGCCGCATATTGTTGTGGTGAAATTAGAAGCATACTCGACGCGAATTCGAAACATCCAGGGATGTTTATTATTAACCAATATAATTTATCATTCAAGAAGAAAGGCTGTTTTTCGCCGTGCATTACAATATTTTTTAATCAAAATCAAAAGCAAGGAAGAAGATAACACAGTATTTCAATATTCTAATGAAAAACATGCATAATTTTTTAAAAAGTAAGCTAATATCGAATGAAACTTATCTTACTTCTGAGCTGTGGCAGTCACGTCACTCTGAGCACTCTCCGAATTTCGAATCTTCGATGGACTTCTTTCTTGTGCTCTTCGAAGTGAACGCAGCGACTGAGATCTGATCACCTCCGACGGCGACGAACCAACTCCACTGCATAAAGTACACTTGTTCACAATTGCACCACTTGCATCCATTACTTGTGGTCCTCGGTTAGTTTCTTTAGGACTTCGGGAGAGTATGTTTGGATCTAAAGTCGAACTCCTGCTTATAATAATCGAATTAAGGGTCTCTAAATGGCTCTGTTGCTGAAGGGTTTTAGGATCCATGGTTGGGCTTCGACGTATGGACTGATCGCATTTTACATGACGATGAGGATCCAGTATGGAATAATTGGTCAGCGGATACCTCTTCTTGCGATTAGTACTCAAGCATTCTGCTGTGTTGCTTTTGGAAACGTTAGCTTCTATTGACGGAGAGCGAGTCATGCGTTTACTACCTGTTTTGTAAACCTGAAGGGTGCTTGAATCCAGAGTTGGACTTTTGGAAAGTTTTGACACATCTTGGCTCTGGTGTTTCGGTTGAAGGGTCACTGTAGTTTCTGTGAGACGAGAATAGCCGGTAGAATCTCTGGAAAATGTAGGTAGCAGTAAAGATAAATCAGTACTCCAACGTTTTTCCTTCGGTGTCAAACCCACGTAACTAAAATCTGAGCGGCTTCTAGGAATGGGAGACTTAGGTGCAGGTTTTCTATGTTCGTTTTGTTGTATTGAAGACATTTTTATACCAAATGAAACCCTAACTGAACTTAGTTTTATGTTATCATCCGTAAATATTGATGCATAAATAATTCGTTTTTTGGAGGAAGTTTGTTGGTGATACTGTTTGAAAGATTTTCGTAAAAATTAGATTATTAGGCTGTGTTTGATATCTTCGTTATGAAAGTAAATGTGTTTTATATCCAAAAAATAAAACTCTCTTATGATATTTACTGTACAAAAATGGAAATCATTATTGCTCACAATTGCATAATCCAGAACAGATCTGGCTTCATATGTCGCTCATATAAATATCTAGATGAGGTTTAGATTGCTAACTACACAGTGAAAGCGAGTCAGCGTGACAGACCAGCTTCATTGGTTATCGCTCTTCACATTAGTGCTCCTATTGATGTTGGTCGTTCAAGCTCCTCCGTAAGTGCCGTAATGCGTTAGACACTCTGTCATGTCATGATTATTATTCATGCAAATTCCCTTCTGTCTGTCTATACTTTAAGATTAGCGTTCCACATCACTTTCTTCACATCTTTTGAATCCAGTCATTTCAAGTCCATCGCCTGAAAGAAAAACAAAGAAAATTTATTGAAGTTGAAAAGTGATTGCTTTGCCAAATTAAAAATGTGATTTAAATAAAAATCTAATACAAAACCTGTTAGAAATTTATATAAACAATAATATTTTTATTTTAAATTACTGGCCGCTGCCGCGGTCAGGTACTTAAAATAGCTATTTCTGTTATTAAATAATGGAGAATTTGTATGTATGTATGTATATATGCATGTATGTATGTATGTATAAATGCATGTATGCATGTATGTATGTATATATATGGGTGTATGGATGCATGTATGTACGATGTATGTATGTATGATCTTCATATTGTGAAACAAAGACTACACTTAGAGCCATATGCTTTTGAACACACATAGTCCATTATCCTAATATACATGCTTAGAGCCACAATTTTGAGCTTCAAATTTGCTTTTTACTTATGTCCTATTTTGTATCAATTTAATAAATTTTTAATTAACAAACTATACTTTTAAAAGAGAGCAGTGGCCACACTGTTCGAAATGAAACATTTTTTATTTTCCCTACGCTAGATTGTTAATGTTTGGTAAACTATAAGATAGTTCTCTTTTCCTTTTAATCAGCGCACTCGAGTATTTAAAAGTATTGTGTTGCCACAGCCCGAAATAAAAACCTTTTGTCTTCCAGGCGCCAGCATGTTGACATTGAGGAAAGCATAAGATATTTAACTTTTAAATTTAATCTGTCTATCGCTGACTAACAATATAAGAGATTCAAAAGCGATAAATGCAGTTCTTAATAATATTTTCATACTTTTTATTCAGATTGATTAAAATAAAAGTACACTTAAATAATGAAATGCCTAATTAGAGATATTACACTTTTTTTATTTAATTGCGCTATCTAGACTCATTGAAACCATTATATACTATTTTGTGTGATAATTAGTTCAGGCAGCTAGCCGCGCAGGTGGCTAATTATGAAAAACAAGAATTATATAATAATTTTAATGAATCTAACTAGCGCAATTAGATGAAGGATGAATGAGAGAAAAGACATCTGTGTCTGATCTCTCTCTAATTTTCTAGAAATTAATTAGGACTTCACTAAAATAAGTTTGCTTCAATGCCTAGTATAAAATTTCTACATTTACGTGCTTCGCTTCCTTTTGACATAGGTTTCATATTATGATTATTTTCTACAAATCCTTCCGTAGGGTAAAATACGTTTTCTTAAAAACAAAAAAGCTATAGCATCTTTTTCCGACGATGGAAGATTCAAAATATTCAATATTCAGCAACGAAATCTGAAGATTTTTTCCCCTCCAGATGAAGACACATACGTTATGTGAATTCAAAACCAAACTTCACGTGAAGACGTCATGTGAAACTTCATGTGAACCGTCTGTTCGCCTGGACTTCGAAGGCTGAATCGCGCCAGTTCCCTTTTCTTATTACTCCTGTTTTCTATAACGGAAAAGTACAAAAATAATTTGTTGCATTACGTATTTATGCAAGTTATTTTAGTAAATATTTAAATAAATTGAAGAATAAGTGTAGGGGAGGGAAGGCAAGAAATACTGTAAGCAATAGACCGAAAAATAATAATGTTGTGCTGAAAGAAAGAAAGGCTAATTAACTACAAAATATAACAAAGTTCTTTTTCTGTATCAGAAACATTTAAATCTCTAAGTGACTTATTCTATCAAAGTGTTATGAAATTAGATAGACAAAACACTATTTTAAATTTAATTCATTATACACCGTGTCAACAAAAGTCCTTGCTGGCCTTAATTTTATAACCTGAAGTTCGCAGACATATACGTCCTGATACAAAAATGTTTGAAATGATGCGAAGATTCAAGATTTCGTGTTTTTAAATTTAAAGAAATTAATTTCGTGAAAATTAAGAAATCTAACTTTGTACACGTTCCTTTGGTCGCTACACTTACACTTAGGAAACTTCTATACTCATAATAAAATGAAACACAAAAAAAATTTATTCCTGTAAAGCAGAAATTGATCAAGATGTTTCATTAAAAGTCGAAAATCGTATTAAGGAGTCATACAACGAATTGAAGAGCGAAATGCTGGCAATTTTACGGAACTAAAAAATAAAAATTAAAAAAGGCCTTTCCTGTGGCAAAGTGGCTAGCGCGTAACGCAGCTAAACCACAGGTTTGGGGTTCGATCCCCAAGCTGGGCAAAATTGTCTCAGATTTTGATCCCTTATGAAGTGGGTCGATGAAATGAGTACCAAATTCACTTGGGGACTAAACACCGGGGTCCTGCGACAAGCCGACCACTTGCCCAAGGCATATGTTGATGCACTTCGGAACCCAAAGGTCAAGAAAGCAAAAAAAAAGGGCACTGCAGACCGTGGCCCACTAGGGCTGTACTAGAAAATAATGACAGTACAGCCTTCAATATTATCGCGTAGACAAATCGCAGTATCATTTGCATTATTAAAAATTAAAAATATTTGTATTTTAATGAATTTATTATAATTACCAGGTTATGACTCTGAAGTAAGAAAACTTCATGAAAATATTAGCAACGTAATTTTTGGTTTAGATAAATTAAAAATTAAATGTGTGAAATTTTTTCAGCATACCACATAGCATAGCAAATTCAGCGTACCACATTCAGCATACCAAATGGCAAAGAATAGTATTGAATCCTATTTAAGGTAAAATAATTAATCTCGGATTATTCTAATTTATATTAACCGAACCCTGAATGCAAAGTCAAAATGACATCAAATATAGTAAATTTGGAAATTAAATATCTTTGTCAATTTCTGTCGTTTGGAAGTCAAAATTTTTCGTGTTGCATTTTTCATAACAAACACAGAAGTTTAGTATAATCGTGTGCAAAATTAAGAGAATTTAGAAATTACGCCTATTTTTACGAACATGTTGAAAGAAAAATATTAATTATGCCGTCAAAGAATTATGCACATATTCGGAATCGAATATGCAAGTGAAATCAGAAAACAGGAAAATTATTTTTATATTAAACCTTAACTTAAAAAGAAATTACCGTGGAATTTTATAAGCATATAATAACTAATAAATATTTAGATAGGTATAATAATAACATTTTTATATGTGCACTATACATGTGTATAAATTTGTATACAGAAGCACTTTTGCATAATTCAACAGATCTGATATGAGGAATTATCTTAAATATAAAAGTAAACAAGTCATCTAATCATCCGGATGTTAATATAAAAGAAAAAGAATATTTTTGATTTTTTTAAAATTTAATTTATAGCCCCTCTAAATTAGTAACTATAAAAAGAAAAATATATAATTATCTTAATAACATAAAAGTAATTGTACTGTAATAAAAATATTTATTAATATTTTTAATCAGACATTTCATGATTCAAAAGCATTTTTATTTCAATCAATCAGATTAAAAGTCGAAAAAGTGTTCTTGGAAATTTCGTTTATTGCTTTTAAATCGGTTTGTTTGCTAGAAATTAAATTTGGCAGTTAACTATTTTATGTTTTGCAAATGGCAATATGTTATTGCGTGGAGAATAAAAGCATTTTACTTTGGGCATGACAATACACTTCTTTAAATAGCCGGATTTGCTAATTAAAAGTGACAGGTTAACATTCTGCTAAATGGCAACAGTCTGGCTCACTGGAAATAAAATGTTTTATAATAATAAATTGGAAATAAAATGTTTTATTTCTAGTAGTGCTGCGACAGATTAGCTAGCTAGCGACAGAATATTAGAAAAAAGTAGCTAAAATCGGTGATATTAATTAAAACCTCGGAAAAACAAAAATTTACGCCCTCATTTTTCCGAGTGGCAACAGTCTCGCAAGCTGGAGATGAAAAATCTACTTTATTTGGAAAGTTGTTGCCACTGCTCGCTTTCAAATCCTAAAGTTTGTTAATAAAAATTTTCCAAGTTTTACGGTGAAACAAAAATAGCTTTACCAAACATTAAATACATTATTTCCGATTCCAAAAATTCGTAGGAAGCTATTTCGACTATTAGAGACGGATTACAGCGGTATCGTTCTTTCTGTTTTTAGATACATTACTCTCAATCTAACTTATCTGGCATTGAGTACATCTGCTAGTACAAAATAAATGAAAAGCAAACTTGAAATTCAAAACTCGGGCATAGAAGTGCACATTTTTGGATGAAGGGCTACTTGTGCTCCAAATTTGCTTCTCTATATGGCACAGTTTCTCCACAGTGCAAGCAACTTGTATCCATACATACAGATATAAAGTTGCCTCATTATTTAATAATAGAAGTTTAATGATACCTCTCTCCTCTTAAAAAACTAAGCATAATTAAGGTTTTTGTGCTTTACATTACATAATTTCTGAAGAATAAAATATGCTATGCAATTTTTCCAGCAAAATATATGATCTTTCTATTAATTAGCTCTCGGCGATCAGGCAGTAAAAAAGAATACTAATATTTCTTTTGACTGATCAAAAAAACATTCACAGGAGCACTTTCTTTAATAATAAAATCAAGCTGGTAAACAAAAATTTATTCAGCTAAAGTCTTCTCCAAATTTTTCTGTTTTTAGCGAAATCTTTTGCGTTTATTTTTATTCAGCTAGTGACGGTGGTTAAACTTTTTTTTTCATTTCAATGTATCAGGAATTAATTACAATAAATAATCATGAACTAAGTCCCAATTGCGTTGTGTATAATTTGAATATAATTCATTCTTAGTTGTGGAATTCATTATTTGTGTTTTAGTAGTTAAATTATTATCGTATTTAAAAATATTTTCACTATTATTCAAGTTTTTCTGATAAACTATGTTTGATGTTTTCTGAAGTATCGCATTTCTGAAGCTTTCCTTGGTTAATAGAACACTGCAGCAATATTTCATCTGTTTATTTTAATTTAAAGCATACTTCTACCGAAACAGCCTACCAGTAGCAATTCGTTGCTAAATATGAGTAATATTATTAATACTACTGAAGGTTGACTTATCTTTATTGCTGGTGACATACATATCTACCAATAGAAATTCTGA